ACAGTAAAATGTCACCAGATGGGAATCCCTACACAGAAACTGCTCCAATTTGAAAATGAACTGAAAAATGTAAATTGGGAGAATCTATTACAACTTGAGAACGTTAATTAGTACTGTGATTTTCTAATGAAGGTACTTTCAAATACAGTCCAGAAGTTTACATGTGTGTTTAAAATAACAGGAAACAAGCCAACTTGCCCTGGATAAATAATAATATTAGTCAACTTATGAAAAAGAGGGATGTAGCACTAAAAAAGTTTGTCCAGACCAAACTAAGAACTGATATGCTGGTCTTCAAAGGATTGCAAAATAAAGTGGTTAGTGAACTAAGAAAAGCAAAGTCCTCTTTTTTTATGCAGCTGTTTGCTGAATCACAGGGCAACAACTCTCTTATTTGGAAACACAGGAAATCTAATCAAAGTAAACAAATAATTAAATTTAATATAAATGGAGTAGTCAGTTCTGATGATGTGGATACTGCAAACGAGTTCAATTCTTTTTTGTTAAATCTGTGGATGAGCTAGCAGTACATTTTAAATCCTGCCCTGTGTTATGTGAGGTGACAGATTCTCCCACATCCTTCTACATCACACAGATGGATCAAGAGAAGATCAACACAATCATAGACAAGTTAAACAATTTGAAATCTAAAGATATATTTCACATTGATACATCCGTAAAAAGAATAGAGCAACATTATCGAGACCTATATTATATTTGGCTAATTTATCATTTAAAGATTGTGAATTTCCTCTTAATTTTAAAACAGCTATTGTCCCCCCAATTTTTTAATCTGGAGCACATGATGGTGTGTGCAATCATCGGACCATTTCAATTCTACCAGTAATTTCTAAAGTCATTGAAAAGTTGGTGGCCGAACAATTGATGAGTTATTTGGACACCAATCACCTTCTTAACCCTAAACAATTTGGATTCCGCCCAAAATACTCAACAGAAATGGCCATAAACAATTTTACAGAAGCCAATAAAGGTAGTCTGGATCAAGGTAAAGCTGTTGGGGCAGTATTCTTAGACTTTAAAAATGCCTTTGGTACTGTTAATCACAACGTCCTTTTGTTGAAACTAAAACAACTAAACTTCTCTCAACAGGCTTTAACGTGGTTCAGTTCTTATCTTGAATCTAGACAGCAATGTGTAAAAATAAACAATGTTAAATCTACAATGCAGAAATGTAAGCTAGGTGTACCACAAGGATCAATATGGGGGCCTTTGCTCTTCTGCTTACATAAATGACTTACCTCTAATCTGCAAAGATACAAACTGCCAATTGTATGCAGATGATACAATAAATTATGTAACTGCTGACACTGCAAATCAGGCTGCACAATTATTAAATAAGCAGTTAGTTGGATTATCCCATTGGTTGTAGGACAACTGCCTAACCTTAAATTACACAAACACAGTCTCTGTGTTTTTCTTTGAAGAGAAGGGCACAGAAAGACTTCAGAGTACACATGGATAAACAGGAAATGAGCAACGTATTAGAGTTCAAATATCTGGGGCTTATTCTGGACTCTAAATTAAAATTTTATTCCTATGTTAAGAAAATGTCGAAGACTATCAAGATTAACATGAACTGCTTTTGTTTGATAAGACCCAGTGTATCTACCAAAGCAGCTCAAATGTATATGCATGCAATGATATTTTCGCATATGTCATGCTGTTCAATTATCTGGGGTCAGGCCTCCAAATCTGTTATACAACCAATAATGTCATTATACAAGTAAACCCTGAAGGTTTTTGATCAGAAACCAGTAAAGTGGCACCACTGCCAAATTATCCAAAAATACCACTTGCTGAGTTTTGACAACTTTCTCAATTTTTCAATTATGAAAACAAAATTCAAATGTATCAATAGTCTTGCCCCAGAAGTAATCTGTTAGTTAATAGAAAAATACAACACTGTAGGGATGAGAACAAGCGCTGGGGTCAGTGGGAATTGCAGGGCCAAAAGGTGTAGAACGACTCTGGGACAATCATCATTTTCAGTCAAAGGGTCACAGTTATGGAACAAATTACCTCTAGATCTGAAGTTACTGAAATACATGGGGGTTTTCACAAAAGAACTGAAGCACTGGTTGAAAGAACAACACTGTGAACATTGAAGCATTGAAATTTTATCTGAATATGTGGCTTTTAGATAATTTTATGTCATTTTATGTATTTTATTAGTGTAACTTGCAACTGCATTGTATTTATATATCTGTTATTTTTATTTTGTTTAGATATAAATGCCTAACCAGGAACAAGGGTTGTAAATTAGCCTCAGAGTAGAAGCCTTATGTATACTGCATCTGTTGCTCATGGTGATAATGTTTTGTTGTACAGTCCCTGTAAAAATAAAGGACACATACATACATACATACATACATACATACATACATACATACATACATACATACATACATACATACATACATACATACATACATACATACATACTTACATACATACATACAATACCACGAGGAAAGAAATGTGTCTAAGAAGTGTTAAATTGAAAATAAATTAGACTAACATTTAAAGAACAAGTTTACTGAGAAACCATTTTTTACTTGCCATCTTTTAAATACAGGTGCTGGCCAGTAAATTAGAATATCATCAAAAGGTTGAAAATATTTCAGTAATTCCATTCAAAACGTGAAACTTGTACATTATATTCATGCAATGCACACAGACCAATGTATTTCCAATGTTCATTACATTTAAATTTGATATTCATAAGTGACAACTAATGAAAACTCCAAATTTGGTATCTCAAAAAATTAGAATATTCTGAAAAGGCTGAATATAGAAGACACCTGCTGCCACTCTAATCAGCTGATTTACTCAAAACACCTGCAAAAGCCTTTAAAAGGTCCCTCAGTCTTGTTTTGAAGGCACCACAATCATGGGGAAGACTTCTGACTTAACAGCTGTCCAAAAGACAATCATTGACACCTTGCACAAGGAGGGCAAGACACAAAAGGTGATTGCTAAAGAAGCTGGCTGTTCGCAGAGCTCTGTGTCCAAGCACATTAACAGACAGGCGAAGGGACGGAAAAAATGTGGTAGAAAAAAGTGTACAAGCTCTAGGGATAACCGCACCCTGCAGAGAATTGTGACGACAAACCCATTCAAAAATGTGGGGGAGATCCACAAAGAGTGGACTGCAGCTGGAGTCAGCGCTTCAAGAACCACCACGAGGAGACTCATGAAAGACATGGGATTCAGGTGTCGCATTCCGTGTGTCAAGCCACTCTTGAACAAGAAACAGCGCAAGAAGCGTCTCGCCTGGGCCAAGGACAAAAAGGACTGGACTGATGCTGAGTGGTCCAAAGTTATGTTTTCTGATGAAAGCAAGTTCTGCATTTCCTTTGGAAATCAAGGACCCAGAGTCTGGAGGAAGAGCGGAGAAGCACAGAATCCACGTTGCATGAGGTCCAGTGTAAAGTTTCCACCGTCAGTGATGGTGTGGGGTGCCATGTCATCTGCCGGTGTTGGCCCACTCTGTTTCCTGAGGTCCAGGGTCAATGCAGCCGTCTACCAGGAAGTTTTAGAGCACTTCATGCTTCCTGCTGCTGACCAACTTTATGGGGATGCAGACTTCACCTTTCAACAGGACTTGGCACCTGCACACAGTGCCAAAACCACCAGCACCTGGTTCAAGGACCATGGTATCCCTGTCCTTGATTGGCCAGCAAACTCGACTGACCTTAACCCCATAGAAAATCTATGGGGTATTGTGAAGCGGAGGATGCAATACGCTAGACCCAACAATGCAGAGGAGCTGAAGACGACTATCAGAGCAACCTGGGCTCTCATAACACCTGAGCAGTGCCACAGACTGATCGAGTCCATGCCACGCCGCATTACTGCAGTTATTGAGGCAAAAGGAGCCCCGACTAAGTATTGAGTGCTATACATGCACATTCTTTTCATGTTCATTCTTTTCAGTTGGCCAACATTAGAGAAACAAACATTTTTTCATTGGCCTTTAGAATATTCTAATTGTCTGAGATACCAGATTTGATGTTTTCATTGGTTGTCACCTATAAATATCAAAATTAAACGTAATAAACATCGGAAATACATTGGTCTGTGTGCATTGCATGAATATAATGTACAAGTTTCACGTTTTGAATGGAATTACTGAAATATTTTCAACCTTTTGATGATATTCTAATTTACTGGCCAGCACCTGTATGTTCAATCACTCTGAGTTTCACTGATGTGCTGTACATGGAATATTCTTCTACCCCTATTCCCTGCATTAGCTCCTGAAAGAAAACAGATGTGAAAACGCTAAGGTAAAAAATATTTACACAGATCTACATCACTGTAAATTAGGGTGAAGGGCAGGATGGGATCAACCTTTCAGGATGCTGTTAGACTTTTTCAGGTAGCGGGAGGAGTAGAAGTCACCCAAGGCAGTCAGTTCTTGGTTTATTATTTTTTGGTGAAAAAAATCCTGTTGTTTTTGCATAATAATTATCATTTATGAAACAAAAATGATGGATTTTTATGTTAGATATAAATAAATAAATCTTTTTCTTAATAAAGCACACTAACGTCAGTGTGCTTTATTAACATTACCAATAAGCCATGTAACAGAAAGCTTCATTAGCCATTTCTGACTTTTGATTGTAGTTCTTTATAACTGTTAATATATGCTACCTTAATAACTGCTGCTTTACATACATCAACAGAACAGTGTTACATAATTCTGACACTTCTTATGTAAAAGTTACACCTGTTGGGCTGCCTTAAGTTTGACACCAGAAATTCTCCGTCGGAGGCTTAACTCTGCTGCTGCATGCCCAGAATTTATGAGCATCCTGCTGAATGTGTGTGCGCTAACCAATGATGCTTCAAAGCTGTCACTGTGTGCTTTGAAGAGATTCTTGGTACCAAGATTGAGGTGGGGTTTGGTTACTACCGATGCTTTTTAAGGTAAAACACATTAAGCTCCAGTTACGAACCTCCTTCCTTCTTCTTCCTATTGGTAAATGTCATCTTTGCGTTAACGCCTCCGGCTTCCTGCCTTCACCTCTGTGTTGCATTAATGCTATATAAGCACATCGTGAATCTTTGACACATCGCACTGGAAGAGAACTTACCCTAATCTGAGGAAGAAGTGGTATTTTGTCAAAGACAGGTCAACTGCGGTGCAACGTCAGAGTTAGAATGCCAACAACCAACAGAATCCTCTCTCAAGCCCGGATGTCTGATAAAGGTGAGCTCCATTTCTTAGCTGATTTTTATTTCATTTAAAATAGTTTTTCCTTAGCTCTAACTAGTAAAAACAACTAAAAAGCCAACCTCACCAGCAACATCATCTGTATTAAAATACTTTTTCTTAATGAATTTAGCCTGCATGTGTCAGAAAAAGCTAGAGAGCAGGATTAGACTCAACCTTTCGTTGAATTTAACATAAAAAATAATTGTCCTTAGAACATATTGATGCTTTTGTACTTCAAAGCATCCTGGTATTTTAGACCACAGATCAAGATTTAAAGCATCCCTGAGGGGTTGAATATGGTAGTCTTTAGAATAAGAGTTGAATCTTACTCTTAACAGCTTCACCCCGGCTGACACAGAGGCTGCATTTAAGCTTTCGCAGGTTGTAATGAGGCCACACAAAGTGATTATTTTCATCGCCTTGCATTGCATCAAGACAGGTGACAAAAACATTTGTCTACTTCAAGTGTACACGGATTATAGCAGCAAGAAGGCTGCAGGTTCAAATCCTGGCTGTGGCCTTTATGCATGGAGCCAGCATGTTCTCCATGCTTAGTGGGTTTTTTCTGGGTATTCCAGTTTCCTCTCACAGACCAAACACATGTTAGCATGTTAGCTTCGTTCACTGCACTGCTTTGTTCACAACTGTAAGTCACTGAACAAAATTACTTGTTAAATAAGTATATCAGTAATATTGCAGTATTAAAAAGTGAAAACATGAGGCATATTCACTTAGAATAAATCATCTGACAGTCTTGATTACAGGTCCTTTACACCACACAGGTTCATTCTTTTTCTGTTGCACTAAATCCCTGATAATGTGCTTAGAGGATTAATTGCTGTTTATTTAAGCGGTGGTGATAGAAGTGGGTAAACATAGCTCGTTAATAATGTGTGCCCATTCTGATCTTGATGATGTACAGCTGAAGTGATCTCTTGATCTTCATCCTTGATAACACAAACTGGGAGCCGCATGCTCACATGTGATACCAAACCATTAAGGCCACTGGAAACTGAAGCTGATTTGAATCAGTTTTACTTTCAACAAAGACATTATCACAACTTTAATATTTTAAATCTTCTGGGATAGCTCCTGAAATCTTAAGTTACCAAAATACGTCTCAGGCTTATCTGATTTGTCCAAACAAATCACGTTTGTCATCCCCTCTGCTAATCAGCTCTGAGCTTTGAGCTGCAGGGTGGAGTGAACGAACCCAGCCCTGCAGCATGTGAGGTGTCTGTAATCCCAGCTGCCTGCAATGAATCAGCTGCAGGCTCCAGAAAGCATGCAGTGCTGATGTGATGATCTGAAAGCGGCAGATGGTTTTCTAAGTATACACCTTTTTTTTACCAGCTCACTTCATGACCTGCTGAAACACACCCGACTCGGCGTCCTTGCTTAAATTACTAGTAACGGTCAAGAACAGGATCTTTATATAGGAGGATTTAGTTGTCATAATCATTTGTCCTTGTTTTCCAGCAAAGAAAGCCAAAGCCCAGAACCCACCCACAGGTAAAGGATCTACATATGCATGATTAATGGCTTTTTGTTTCAGTAAAATAAAATCTAACATTAATTTCCTCCTCAGAGAACATTCCCGTCTACGAGCCAGATATTCCAGATCCCCGTAGCAGAGATGATCTCATCAAACGTATGAACTTTTTCCCCCCACATGTCACATTATAACTATTTTAAGTTATTATTTCCTTTTGTCCCGTCAGACTGGATTGACTTATGCTTGGACGACCGAACAGCCAATAAGATGCTGTGGATTACAGAGGGAGGAGCTAAAGTAGCTCGTATGACAGATGACGTAACTTGTCCCGTCTTGGACCGACCAGAGAGATTCGAGTATGCTCCACAGGTACTAGAGGAAGTCATACTTTGATTTAAAGTTATGAATAAATAATGTTATTATATTAGTGGTCAGATAGCTACCAAACACACCCTAGAAAACACAGAAATTGCCATCGTTTAAGAGCTACACATTATTCCAGACCTTTGTTGTCAACTGTTGGAATCGACCGTGCCAGCCCAGTCAGCATACCTTGGTGGGCCCCATATGGGCAAACCATATAGGTGACAACAGGTTTTGTCCATTCTTCCCATGGTAGCCCCACGAGGGCTTGGCCACATACATTTTGACTGGCCCTACAAGTGTTTTCAGAGGGACCCGGATGGTTTGACTCATACATGGGCCTGTTCAAGTCTTTGTGGTCAGCCACCCTGTTGGCACCAATGTAGTTTGCCCATATGGGGCCCATCTATGAATGCTGGCTGAGCAGTCTGCTGAAAAAATATGTCATCAACCGGTGGACAGATTTTAATGAAACTTTTAGAAAGTTACCAGCACACAGACTACCATTAAAAGCTCTACAAAATATCAAAAGTTCACTGTCGATCTTCCTTTAAAGGTCCTTTGCAAAGAAGGAATCCAGGGCTTCAGAGGCTACTGGGAGGTGGAGTACTCTGGATGGGTGGTGGTTGGAGTCGCATATGAGCAAGCAGGAAGGAGGAACTGTCAGGGACCCTGTGGATTTGGAGAGAACGAGCAGTCCTGGGGTTTTGGCTGGAGCGGCTCCAGCTATCACGCCTGGCATGAAGGTCAAAATGCTGAGATCAAAGGGATTCCTAAAAGCTCTGTAATAGGTGTATATCTGGATGAGCCTGCTGGTCTAATGAGGTTCTATGCTGTGGAGGAGATAAAGGATGAAGAGGAGGGTGTCTGCAGGAAAGAGGTTAAACTTGTGCACCAGTTCAAAAGCTCCTTTACACAGAAAATGCTGCCAGGCTTCTGGGTGGGGACACAGTCTCACTGTTCCATCTTAAAGAAGGAAGAATGAATGAAAACGTGGAAAACCAGATCTAATCCTACATGCACAATACAGTGGAGTTAAAAACATAAATACATGCACATACACTACTTATATGTTATAGATAATTATATTCTCACTGTATATACAGCATTTTAGAAAGTGTTTTTTGTACATTTTGGCATTAGGAGCAAAGTGCAATCAGGTAAAGCAGGTAGAGCTAGTTTAGTTTTTACTGTTATCATATTTGTGTATTTATTAGTTTTCACGTTTTGAATGCTACTTTTTGATTATTTTTTTAATATTAAGCAAACTAAACTATCGAATAACAGATTGATTTGAAGATTTTTCCATCACCCTGTACTGTAATTATTGGCAAAAAAAGGCAAAATATGATTTTTGTGAAATAAACGAAAGTACAACGAATGGGTTTCACTGACTTTGATGTTTTCAGCTTTAAAATCTCTATGAATCAGAAAGTTTGTCTTTATAAGTTAAAAACTAAACAAACGACCCTCATGAAGGAGAGTTCTCCGAATAAACCCAGTAACAAACCCAACCCAACAAATTAAATCCAAGCATTAACCCCCTCCGGTTCAGTGGCCGTTTGGTGAATGGAGTTTAGGGGTTTAGCATTACCTTAAAGGAGCCGTTCCAATTTTTGAAGTGCTGTTCAGGAGGGTTGCCTTTCGTAGTTTTCAGTCTTACCTGCAATTTGCAGACATTTTCTTAAGGGAGTTGAGCTCTGGACCAATCTGAGTAAAACTGAGACCTAAACGGATTACAGGTAAGTAAGTAAGTAAATTTTATTTATATAGCACTCATCACAGATGTAGAATCACAAAGTGCTTCACATAGATCAAAAACAAAACAAAACATAGAGTCATAAAACCATAATGATCTTAAAACAGAAATAGATTAACATCAGAAAAATAAAGTCATACAATTACATTTGTTTTCGATTGCTAAAACGCGTTTATCAAAACTGTACGTTTCTTTCAAAACTGCACACACAAAACCCCAAACATCACACAAAAATTGCTAAGCCCTGGCATACCTTTGCAAAACAACTCTGCCATCAAATGTCGTAACATGTTCACAAAATGGAACACGTGTTTTCATTTGGTAAACAAAGCCATATTTTCACATGACACGCACATACCATTCATTGAATAAACACAAGTAGCTTTTGGCTGAACATTACCAAGCATGGAAAGAACACTGAAGTGCAAAAGTGAAAACACAATTGGAGAAATGGAACACACTGAATCTATTACAATGCCCACTTCTCTCATAGACAAACATTAGACATCACACATGACACCCCCACCCACCCCAATCTTAAAGGGGCATTATGGAAGTTTGACAGCCAAAACATGTATAGAAATAATACATTTCTTCTTCATACATTCTCCTGCAATGCCCTGGTCCTAATGAGCCCTGGCATTTTTACTGTGATTGCCTGTTTTACTGTAAAATCACAGAAAAAGAGAGCTGCTCGGGTCAAGCAGGCTGCGTCATGCGCGTTCACGCTCAGGCATAGCCCGTAGCATTTGCTATCAGTAACTTTAGCAGCAGAGAGAGAGGCAGTGCCACTTTGTCGCTGTTCCTAACGCCTAGTGACAAAAATAGCTACATTTCTGAGGACCCTTTGCTACTTTCTGTAGAACTTTCTTCTAGATATTTCCTGCAAATTAGCAACAAAATAGCCATTTTCACTCCGAACCGTTATTTGAACGTTGTTTCAGCTGTCATCAAGTATATAAATGTTACAGATACAAAGGACGTCACTGGCGCTTTAGCTCACCTAGTAAGACGTCGGAGTCCCGTGCAGCAGTACTGGCTTTGATTCTGGATGTGAACATGGTGTATTTAGAGTTTCTTTTTTACATTAATGGTATATTTTTTTATAATAAGATGCCCAAATTTTTATTTGAGACTCGCCAAATGGCATTGAATTCACAGATAAAAAAAGATGTGGGTTCAACTTTCATTTTCGAACAATTTTTCAATCAAGGGAATGGAATGATCTGAGCATGCAGGAGGACTGACCCATCTTAAACCTTTGTCGGCTGTGCTGAAGAGAAAGGTACAGAACCAAATTATTTCATTAATTAGCTGCGTGTTCTCCTGCCCTCTGTCCTCCGGGCCACACACACACACACACACACACACACACACACACACACACACACACACACACACACACACAAGGGACTGTCTCAGCTGTTATTTTCGTTAAGGAGTGTGCACGTACAGCATGCGCGCCTCGTGCACGAGCCTACTATTGAAGCTGCCGTTACGCTTTTGGCCTGAGGGGGCAATCGCGAGCATAAAATTCAAAACTCTGTAAAGTCCCTTTAAGTAGTGATAAATTGAGTCAAGCGATTGGGAACAGAAGTAGAGGTTGTGAAAATTGTGCCTCATTTTTGCTTTTTGAGTGTTAGCAATCGAAAAAAAGCCGTAAAACAAATAAAAGATTATTACAAATTTGAGTTAAAAATGAGAAAACAAAAGATTTCAGTAAAAGCAGCTTTCAATAAAAGGGTCTTTAGCTGTTTTTTATCATTCCAAAGTCCGGGTGCAACAGCCTGGAAGGAGCGATCACCTCGACTTTTATATCTGGTCTTTGGAACTTCTAGAAGGTTCTGGTGAGTGGACCTGGGGGCTCGGGTTGGGGCATAAGGCTTTAACAGTTCAGTAATATAGGGAGGAGCTTGACCATGTAGAGCATTGAAAGTTCTAGTCAGGATTCTAAAATGAACTCTAAAGTTAACGGGTAACCAGTGCAGAGACATTAGAATAGACATGTTTGCTCTAGTTAGGAGCCTCGCTGCAGAGTTCTGGACCAAATGAAGGCGGGCAAGGGCTTTTTGTTAAAACGTGTGAAAAGTGTGTTACAGTAATCTAGATGGGAGGGGATAAAGGCATGGATAACTGTTTCAAGTTCATGTTTTGACACCACCTTTCGCAGTTTGGAGATATTTCTTAAATGATAAAAACTGTTTTAGACCAATATTTTTGAGTGGCCTTCAAGAGACATTGATTGGTCTAAAACAACACCCAAATTCCTTAAGTTTGTATTGTTGGTCTGTAGTCTTCAGTAGGCTGAGACGAGTCCAAACTTGTTTTTTTCAGGATAGGTTCAACAACTGCAGGTGTCTCAGAGCAGCTCCTGTGTCAAATATTTCATGATGGCTCGTGTAAACACTCATTTATAAACCTTCACTTTGCCATAAAGAGACAGGTGAATTGGTGTTTGCCATGTAATGAACTCAACCATGAGACCATAATGTTAAAATTTCTAAGGTGGTAAAATAGATATATTGAGATAAGAACAATACAACATAAAGATGACATTTCTCAAGATGACAAGCTAACGCCGGGGACACACCGGCTGCGGAAGCGCCGCGGAAGCGCCGAGAAGCGAATCGCTCACGAAATTCGGCCGCTGCTCGCCGCTCCTCAGTTCAGATCAGACGCGCCCCAGTCGAGGCGCGCCTCTGCTCAGCTGTAGTTATTTTTTTATAACACTTGGTGTCCTCAATTTCCTCTCTGCCTTTTCTCAGCTCTTTTCCTCTACGTGTGTGCGCGCGCGCGTGTGTGTGTGCATGTGTGTGTGTGAACCTATGGTATGAGTTGTTTCTGCCAGTTGAATCTCTTGGAACCCGCTCCAATTCTGCAGCTAGCAGTTTCTTCTGAAATGGGTACGTAAATAACCATGTTTTTCGGGGGTCGTACAGCTCATTGTGTTTCTCAACTTCCATAATTAATTTAAAGTCATCCATCTTAACTGCTTGCCTCAGACTTTCTACCTCTCTGTCCTGTTTGCTCCGGTGAAAAGACACCCAAAACCACTCACCCCTTCACGTGGTCACACACGCACACAAGTTCGATGTGTGTGTGTGTTCGTGTGGGTTTTCTGCAGTGTCTGATTAAGAACACATTTGACTATTGCAGAATTTTATTTTGAAATGCTTTATTTTGTTAACTTTACCGGCCTGCCTCTTATGTCTACGTTTGACTTCCTGCCAGAATTGACGCGATTCACCCGCGGCTCGCGAAAAAAATAGAGCCGACGCCGAAATGATCGCTGCACGGCGCGGGCTGGGGCGCCGGCGCGAGGCGATTCGCGGCGCTTCGGCGGCCCATGTGGTCTATAGAATAGCCTAACAAGGGCACCGAATGAAGGCGGCCCCATTTTCGCGGCGCTTCGCGGCGCTTCCGCGGCCGATGTGTCCCCGGCGTAATACAGAAAACTAATATATTTACTGATAAAAACTCAGCAAAACATAATTTCAAGCTGTGTTATCAGTTTCGAAGTTCATTTGTTTTGAGCTATAGAGCAGTTTTCCTTATATAGAGTTGTACTTTTTTTTCATCAAATTTTAAAACGTTCATTTAGGTTTCTATCATCGACATATAAAAATATGGACATAGCTCGTCCAAGTTAAAGCCATTTTCTATAAGAAGCTAATTCAGGTGATAGGGACTATTTTCATGTTCTGCCTGCATGAAAAACTCTGAGTGCCCAATCATTTTCAAAAATTATAAGTAAAAATTAGTTTCTCAGTGATGGAGCTCTTTAATAAGGTGTGGTGTTCTGCAATCAGGGTAGCTTGGAGTAGAGCTGCAGCTCCTCCACGTCAAAAAAAAAAAAAAAAAAAAAGAAAAAGTGAGCAGCTTGGGGATTTGTTTAGCATTGCTCCTGTTGCCTCACTGTGGAGGTTTCCTAGATTGTTCCACTGAGAGGAGACCCAACATTTTGGCCCACGTTTATCAAACGTCCATAGAAGCTGTACTATATTCCTTCCTACGAATGAAATTTAGAATGTATGTACGAAGAGTCAAATTACGCAGGTTCCTCTGCAGTCGTCTGATGATAAATCTCACCTGTGCGTACCCAGGTGCTCGTGTCTGTTTTCTGTCATCTACACACAGAAACACTCTCAATTTTTGGGTCCCCCCCCCCCAATCTTTATTGGCAGCAAGATCAAGACACCGGCTTCTGTACTGCAAAAGAGCCAAACAGAGGTTATAGAGAGGAGAGCTTAACATCAGGAAAATCGGATGGCCGCCACATCGCCACAGTAAACAAGAGTGCATTAAACACCATCTTTGGTATGTTCTTGCTGGGTCTAGTTTCTAATTCCATTTTTAGTTCTTTTTTAAAACACAGAAAAGTTTTTTTTTTTTTTTTTTACCTTGCTAACAGTTTTGTTTGCTGACTGCAAAACTTCCTCAGAGCTGACGTTGATGGTGGCGGATAAACGGAGCAGGAAGTGACGCCACCATCAGCGTCAGCTCTGAGGAAGTTTTGCAGTTGGCAAATGAAACTGTTAGCAAGGTAAAAAAAAAACTTTTCTGCGTTTTAAAAAAGAATTAAAAATGGAATTAAACACCAGTCTCTGTTTTCTAGGTCCAAACATCTTTTATTGACCGTGACTTCAAATGGTGTTATTCTTTTAGGGACTCTGGTAAGTTTGTTCTAAAGTTGAAGTGGTAGCAGCTGGCTGTTCCTCCTTCTTTGACATGAAAGAGCAGAGAACCTCTACCAGTGGTGCTCTGTTGCTAAATGTATGAGCAGGGAATGAGTGGAGGGCCAGCGGAAGTGTGGTGGTTTGGTGAGATTGACAACTGTGTCGTTCAATCATTGATTTCAGACAGAGCTGTGTTAAGCTTGGTTTATGCTTGACGCATTTACTTTCCGCTTAGTGATGCGGCTCGCGGATGGAACGCGCTTCACAACTTGCAGCGTTTATGGTTCATGCTGCTTGTCTCTGCGGTGAGCCAATATTCTCCCAAACTGAACGGGGCAGCATGGAGCTCTACGGCATGCATCCAACACTAAACTATAGTTGAAGTAAAAATTACTGTTTACAACATGGCATTCCAGCATTTTTTAACAGCGTCCTCGTCTTTTCCAATAGTGCGAGCTATTTCTCTCCAAGAACTATTAACTACATGTTGATCACTGTGATCTCTGAGAGCTGAATCTTACAAATGTCTGTATTTACGAACCTCTGCCATACTAGTTCTTGCCGGTCCGCCATGTTTTTCCTCGTCCAACTGTCCGCGTGGTTAGAAAATTTCCTAGGTGTGCGCTGCGGAAATTTTGGGCCGTGCAGAGGCGCGGTGGAGGGGCGTGGTTGTTAAAATGACACAATTTTGCCGCACGGAGCCGTGCGAACCTCGCGGACGCAAGCATAAACAAACCTTTATTGGCTAAGATTTTAACACAAATGCAAGGGAACAACTTCATGCTTTGTTAGAATGATAAGAGGCATGAAAAAATGTTTTAAGCTAGCTTGTTTTGCAGATTTGCCTTTGTAGCTTTAACAAATAAAAAGATATGAGTTCGTATAGCAACAAGCAGGGGCGGATTTAGGACTGAAGAAGATCCGGGGCTTAACACACACACACACGCGCGCACACACACACACACACACATGACACGCACTAGTCAACATCATATAAATTTGTCTTGTACCACATAATTTTTAATCTGAAGCTACATATTAAGCATATTCAGGGCAGAGTATTGTTCCTGTTAGTGTTTAGTGTGAGATGATAGTAAATATTCCCTTTCTTTCTCCATCAACTTTACCTGATAGTAAGCTAACTTTAGGCAAACCAGCAGCACAACAAATATTTTCAAATAAGTCTCACAAACCTGAGTCAACACCAGTCTCATCAAAGCTGGGGTTCTGTCGCGGTACTTTTGGTCTAAAAAACATCCTTATGTCCATCTTCACTCATGCGTTTCAGGCAGAGAATGTAGAAGAAGCTGGCTGCTGAAGGGCTTTTTCTTCAGTGGTGAAGGCTCAGGCAGGCTGTGTATAAACTACTGCCAGCTGCTCCCTCTCTGTTGGCCTTTGGTACTGCATGTTACTTCCGCGATTTAGATGCGGGGCTTTTCATAAAACAACCGGGGCTTCAGCCCAAGTAGCCGGGCCTAACGCCGCCCCTGGCAACAAGTGCTTTTAAACAGAACCCCATGATTAAAAACTGCTCTTCTTTGTTTGTATATGGACAGTTTTGCACACAATCTTTAAACGTGTAAAGAAATAAGGCTCATAGATCCATTTAGCCACATTACAAAATTTCTTTCTCTGGATTAACCTTGTTGACACTGTCCTCTTTCCTGTACCATCCATGCTGCTGACAACACTGACCGAACTATTTATTTTTTTCCTAATCTTTATCTCACCATCTTCACCCTCTGTTGAACATACTGCTTAAATTTCACTGAGGTCAAATGTCTGCATTAGTCTCCCTCTGTCTGTCAAAGTGAAGCACATGCCCCTCAGCTGAGGCCTCATTCCACTGGCACCAACACCTCCTAGAGAAAGGGGCTCCCTAAAGCCACCATCAGAAGACAAACATTTTGCACGTCTCTTCGAATAAATCAAACGTTCGCACGTGGATTGTTAACACTTTGACCTTGAGATGCAGAATAAACCCAGTTCTACTAAAGTCCTCTCTGAGACCAGCAAACAAGGTAAGAATTTTTATTTAGAATATTATAAGTTAATTATATCACAAGTAATTTTTTAATCAGATATTAAGACAGTAAAATAAAAGAAAAGTGCACTGACTTCTTCCCTTGTTTCTGCCAACTTTTTTCTTTTCTTTAAATATTTCTACAATAGGCAGCAATAGTAGTAATACCTCTACAGGTAGCCAGGTAGTGGAAATTACATTTTTAAGATTTTCAGAACAGAATTAAAACTAAAATATTTTGAGGGAAAAATGTGCTATTAGATTCATCATATGAACGCCAGTAAAATATTTGGAAAAAATAATAATAATTACATTAAACTATTTGTTTTTCATGTTTTGCATTTAAAGTATTATAACTGTGTTCCCAACTTTAAACTTAATGTTTGTTCAAGTTTCTAGATTCCAGCTCCAGATTGTTTTTGGGGGTTTGTGACTAACAGGAACAATTACTCTGACCTATTTTTAGAAAAGAATATGGAATCCAGCAAAAATGAAGAGAGAAATAAAGGTAACGGCATACTGAATATAATGCAATTTTGGGCTTTGTTATGTGATCCTATCAAATTTGTATAATGGCTTATTGTCAAAGGGCAAAGGTTTGTAATTTTGTTTTTGCCCATATCTGAGTGTACTTGTTTGTATGTCTGTTACAAAACACCACACAAATCACTAAATGGATTTTGATTAAACTCTCACAAAGTAATAACTTGATCTTACCTTAACAACCAAGATGGTCAACTTGATTCAAGATGGCCACCACAGCTTTGAACATTACTAAACACAAACATACCATTATTCAGCCAACTAAGAATAAAAATAGCAAAGCGTTTGTAAGGTTGTAGCTGTGACCAGTTGTTATCACATGCTTTGTGTGCTAAGTGATCACACAAGATCTTTCTTTCACATTTTGTCATGAAATGACCTGGCAAAGACGTTAGTGTCCCAATTATCCTAGAAGCTAGGCGGTCTGGGCTTTATGCCTCTCGTGAGAAATCAGGCAAAGTGCAGCCCAAAGACACCTGATGATGAAAAATACCAATGGGAACCAGGACCAGTGCTATGGGTGCCCTAAGCAAAAATGCTCTGTGGTATGCCTTTTTGCAGTGCTCTGTTCTTGGACTTCTGTGCTTATAAAAATTTGTCCATTATGAACACCATTTTCAAGCATAAGGTTGTCCACATGTATTTGCTTCCAATTCAGCATTAGCGTACGCTAATTGATGCCCTCTAGCTGGCACTAGAACGCTTTAAGCAAAGACTCATTGATCGACTTTGTTGTCATCTCATTAATTCTGTGGCCGCATGTCTTGGACACTTGAGTGAAGAGTGGGGTGGACCTGTCAAGTGACCAGGAGGAGGATGCTATTCAGACCTAAATGGTTTGTGAGAGTTTGCTGGTCGCATCTGGCAAAGTTTCTAGTCAGCAGGAGCTTCAATTCCCACCTCCACCAGAACATCAAACACGTTCCGGGGAGGCAGGGGACACTGGGTCTAAGGGGGTCACGTTCCATGTCTCCATTGTCAATGTGGCTGACCGGAGCTGTGGCCGCAGCGTGATAGGTGCTTGTCCTAACCCTTGGACCCACCAGTGGACACCAGCAGTGAGGGATGCTGCCAAGTTCAAGAAGGAGTCCTATCAGCTCCTTTTGGCCTGTGGAAGTCCAAAGGCAGCTGATAGGTAGTCCAAGGGAAATGCAGCTCAGATGGTCACAGAAGCAAAAACCCTAGTGTGGGTGGAGTTTGTGTCTTTGATAAGGTCTATTCAGGGGTTCTTTAGAGGTTGGTCAGATGCATTGTCGAATCTCGGATTCAGTTGGAACAATGTGGCTTTTATCCTGGCTGTGGAACACTGGTCACCTTTCGCAGGATCCTGGAGGGTGCATAGGTTCGCCCAACCAGTTTACAAGTGTTTTGTGGAGATGGAAAAAGCATTTGTCCCTGCATGGGACTTACGGGGGATACTCCGGGAGAGCTGGGTAACATGCCAGCAGACACAGACTAAGTCCTTGTACTATCGGTGTCGGAGCTTGGGCCGCAGTGCTGGCAATAAGTTAGGCTCATTTCCAGTGAGAGTGGGACTTTGCCACCGGCGCTCTTTGTGAACAATTATTTTCCTAACTTTTATGGACAGGATTATTTTGTAGACACAGCCAGATGCTGAGGGGGTCTGTTTGGTAGCCTAAGGATCAAGTGTCTACTTTTTACAGTTAATTTAGGCCTATTTGCTTAATCAGGCTGTGATTTCAAACGTTAAGCAGTTTGCAGCCGAGTGTGGAATGGCATTTCCGAATCTGTGACTGTGGTCTTGAGCCAGAAAAGGGTAGAATGTCTTCTTCTGAGGGATGAGGTCCTGCCCCAAGTGGAGGATTTGAGGTATTTCAGGGTCATGTTTACAAATGAATGAAAAAATGAGCTAAATTTCTTTTGAATCAATGGATGGATGTTAATGACAGATTTAGAAAGTCATTACACGTACATCTACAATAGATTAATAGTTGAAGTCAAGCCAGTTCAGGGTGACTGTCACAGCCAACTGTTGGCTATGATTCACTCAGTTCTGCACATATTGAAGGGACTTCTGGTGTTGTAGTTCATCACAATCATTTCCAACTCCACACGTTGCACAACACCTCCTCCTTAAAACTCTGCCACTGAATATTGAAGATATTCAATATTCATCTAAATGTTCATCTAAAACTCTTGTTCTTTTATTAAAATATTATTTTATGCAAATCTTTATATGCTCTTCATTAATATAATGACATTTTGTGATTTAAACAAATTTTCATTTGTTTTATGATATTTTCTTTTGCTCATAGAATGACTTTACAAGTTTATGTTTTGTTGATCTTTGTGAAGCACTGTGTGATTTTTCTTTCTGTGGTAAGTGCTATAAATAAACTGTACATACTTACAATCATATAGCTATAAGTAAGTCAGTTGGACAGATTTTTAGCTAAGATTTGGTGTTGTAGCATCTGAATTTGAACAGACCTGATAAGATACTGTAAATGTGCGGTTTCCCCAAGATTTAGCAAAAAACAGCAATTACAATGATTGATGTACAATAATGTTAATTTAAGACTCTGACATGAAATATACAGGAGGATTAGCAATCCTTTCATGAATTGTGGTCCCTGCAATTAATATGTTTTTCTTTCTTTGCAGAAAGTCTTTCTGATTATTTTCCCAGAGTCACAGAACCAACAACCAGAGCTGAGCTGATGAAGTGTAAGAGTACACTTTGTCTCAATGTCAGGGACTGTGACTCTGTGGACACACAAGTATAATTGCTTGCTATTTTTATCCCCAACAGACTGGATTAGTTTGTCATTGGATAAAAAGACTGCAAATAAGATGTTGTGGATTTCTGATGGTGGGTCTACGGTCTGTCGTAGAACCAAGGAGGTTTGTCCTGTACTAGATGGACCAGAAAGATATGAATATTCCCCACAGGTAGGTCACAAGTCACATCTGATTAGCAAGGAAACAGACATTATACCATCTTTTCTTTTTTGATCTTTAAGGTGCTTTGCAAAGAGAGCATCTGGAACAGCAGGGCTTACTGGGAGGTCGAGTACTCGGGTTGGGTGGTAATTGGAGCCACCTATGAAGAAGCAGCAAGGCGAGCTGATTCTACTCCAACTGGTCTGGGGGAAAATGAGGAGTCTTGGGGCCTGTGTTGGTCTGGAACACGTTATGAGGTCTGGTACAGCGGTGGCCACAAAGACATCAACGATGTCCCGTTTTGCTCAACAATAGGCGTCTACATCGACCAGCCTGCAGGGATCATCAACTTTTACACAGTAACTGGTGCAGGGGAAGAGAGGGAGGCTGAGATCCTGCATAAAGTTCAAACTAGAATTGAAAAAAAGATTCTTCCAGGTTTCTGGTTGGGAGTTCAGTCCTCCTGTTCCTTAGTGACAAGAGCAGAATAAACAACTAGTTTAAAATCGTTTTATTTAATAATCATTTTCATATCTTACATGTTTTATGTCAGCAATTGTTTTCATTTAGGCCTTTTAGCATGGATAAGATTGCACACATATTGCTCAAGGAATTGATTCACATCCCTCTGGGGCTACTTTCTGACTCGAGATGTTTCACCGTAAAAAAAAGTGTGTGTGTATAAAATTTCTGAGAAACTGTGCCAGGGCTTACCTCTTTCACACTTAATGTGAGGCACAAGCTTTACAGAGAATAAGGAAGGGTTGGTACAATAAACACCGAATATTCACACTCCTGCAGGCAGAGTACATCACGAGGCCTCATTCAATAAGTAGAGCCCTGGTCATCAACCACACAGGTCACACTGGTATTTCAAACACTTTACCAGCTGTCAGCTTTCCCACAGTACATAAAGAACATGAATGTCACGTTGGACTGAGGCAGCAATAAAAAAATGTTTTACTCTGTCTAAGAAACCAACACTCTTCCAAGAATGGGTCAATATGTAATTGTTTGTAATAAATCAATACTAATTTGTTAATAAATAATGCTTTTTTTCTTTTATCTTTGGTTGGATAAAGTTTTTATAGTGACAGGATTTTCTATTTTCTATGAAATGGTTGATTATAAGGAAAGTTGTTTCTTCTTCACGCTAATGACAGCAGAATAAATTCATACCTATACTATTTTATTCTAGTAAATATATTTATGCAATGTAATTTGCAAACAATAACATTACATTTGAGAATGTTTTATTCATTAAAGATGTGGAACACTGAAAAAACATTTTTTAATTAATATGTCTAATTATAGTCAGTCACTCGAAGTTTATCATGCAGGCTAAACACGAGAATTGTCTAATTCCATCTTTTAGTTTTTTTTAAAACACAGAAAGGTTTTATTTACCTGCAACGTTTCGTTTGCGGCTGACGCTGATGGTGGCGTCACTTCTGACGAAGTTTGCAGCCGCAAACGAAACGTTGCAGGTAAATAAAACCTTTCTGTGTTTTAAAAAAAAACTAAAAGATGGAATTAGAATTTCAACACAGCAAGAGCACACCAAAGATGTTTAATGAAAATTGTCTTCTACACTTATCTCCTGCATCAGCTTCTGATAGATGGTCAACATCTAGAACGCAAGATTTACATCAAACCGTCACTTAAAGGCACACTTTGGAGCTTTGCTTGCTTTTATCACTCCCTAGTGTCCATTAGTAATTCACTGTGGTTAACTCATTCACTGCCAGCTGTTTCTTGATCAGAAAAGCCCTTCGCTGCCAGCGTTTTTCAGCGTTTTCAGATTTTTTTAAGGGTCACAGAACATTGCGCTCTATGATGATGCCAACACCAAAACAAAGAGTAGATTCACCTCTTACATCAGGAAGAATCCGCAGGTTTCGAGCGTTATCAGTAATCCGTAGTGGAATTGTGATAGGCAGAAGCTTTTTCGGTTCACGCCTCACTTTTTTTTTTACAGCAGCGGCTCTAAACGATCTTCCAAAACATAGGTTATCTGCTTCCTGATCATGTGTCGTGTGTCGTACATGGATGAAGATCGGCTTTAGAGCTGGGACGTTTGTTCTCACGTTGCAGGGACTCGTTCCGACGCCCACACAGTAATAAAAAAAAATGCAAATGACGACTTTAGTCGTCATTTGCATTGAACGGTTGGATTTAAAATGACAAATTTTGTCATCAGTGGCAGTTGAGTTAAACTAGAAATAAAACCTATCACCTCGCTATGCTTTTTTTTAACAACTTAATTTAACTGCTGAAATGTCTCTTCAGCCTTCATTAGTGTCTACAGGTGAGGTTCATTACTAAATCAAACAAAGCATGCAGAGAATGTGCTGGAAGACTGAAGCACCAGGTATCCTAACAGACCGGACCGGCAACTCTGATGTTGCAAATGGAATATTCTGGTCACGTGGGAAAATAGAGGCTGGGTGATGTTTCATTAACCCTGTAAAGCGTCATTTTAGCACATACTGGCTCAAGAAAATAATTCAAAAATCTGAAAAAATTGCTAAGTATCTCTTTGAAGGTGCTATATGTAAAAATGAAGAAAGAATGACATCATGTGGTAAAATGTGGGTACTGCATTCCATTTATCCAAGGTAAAAGTTACTATCTCACTGATGTTCCGAGAGTTTCATGGCTGTTGCCAGTGACAGATCGGCGCCAGAAGATTTGAGATGACAAATGAAGACGAGTCACACACAGTAAGTTGATTAGTAGATAAATACATTATCATATCTGGTGCTAGCAGTTTTGGGTGTTTTACGGTATGGAGCACTTATTACACTTATTAAGGTAATACCGTTAATCCTCTAATATTAGCCTGTATTTAATTAACTGCCGGGTATCATATTTTGGCCGGTGTCGGAGTGGGCGGAGGTGAATAATGGCCGTTTTTTTATTGTGGCCGGGTGGAATGTGGTAACAAGCAAGTACGGGGGGCGGTTGTGTCATCCGTCTCACTTTTGATTTGCCAGTGATAGACCGCGAGGGTGACTTTAACCATGCGGAGATGAAGAGGAGGCGAAAATTTGATATCAAGTTCAAAGAGAACATGCTGATTATGCTGCAGAACACTCTGGGGAGCAGTAGCAGGGGTTGTATGAACTAGTCACTAGTCAACTTCACCACTCTATAGTGACTTTTTATGCCTGTCATCGACTAGTCGCTGTCATGTGATAATGACCGGCAAGATGCAGTCCACAGAAAGACAGCAGCCTGCTGTCAGCAGGTGACAAGCTCCTGCGCGTCGGGAGGCAACGCGCTGTGCCAGAGGGTCGGTACTGACACCCGCCGTAAAACGGACATTTAACCAAATTGTGACGTTTACCCTCTTGCAATTTAACCTTCCCCTCACCCCCATCCTAACCTTAACACGCGATCGTTCATGTCGACTCATTTCCTTTTTTTCTTTAGGATTGAGAGGAGATGCAGGAAGATAATAAACAGGCAGGACAGAAAAATAGTCAAATAAAAACAAGTTAGGTTTTGTACCTGGTGGTTGCAACAAAGAGACACCATTGAAGGTAATCAGAAGTGAGGAACAGAAAATGAAATAATTATTTTAATGTTTAGAGCAGCAGGAACACTGAGAGGCTGCAGGCGCATCAGTGAGTTTGCGGCCACTGCGCAGGGGGAGGGGGGAGAGGGCTGAAGCAGAAACTACCGTTGTTAAAAGAAATGTGTTTAACTTTGAAAATGTGGGTGCAATTTTAATTGTCAAAAACTCCAGCGAACCATTAGTTCATTTTGCTCAAATAGAAATTGAGGCCTGCCTCTAATTCTGGTCCTCCTTCCAATAAAGGCCTGGAGCTTGATGAGCTTGAGTCAAATACAGGCCCGGGCCTGTATTAGAGGATTTACGGTATGTCTCCAGCATACAGAGTGTGGGTGTTTTCCGTCTTGCTGTTAGCTTGCTGTTATAATTCTGAATGACACATTAAAGGACATAAAACAACACGATTGAATCATTATTCAGTCCATGCATATTTTTCACTGTAATATCAAGTTGTTGGTAAGTGAAAAAAATAGCTTAATATATTTTAGAGTCAACTATTTGCTTCCAATTCAGCGTTAGCACTGTTAGCTAAGTGATAGCCTTTAGTCTGGTTCATCCGATATTAGAGTAAAGCAAAGAGGTATGTCCTGGCTTCTTATGGCTACAGGAAATAACTTCTGGGTCACTCCTGTTTATTGCTTCTGTTGTTTGAACAACTCTGGAGCTTTTTGCCTGCCAGTGTCAAATTATTAATGTTTGCGCTGCAGCATTAGGTCGGCACAGACTTGGCAACCTCGCAGGTTACAGATTTTAAACAATAACTACGCTCCCCTTTCATTTTTTTGTAAGAAGAAAAACTGCCAACACCCAACTGGCTAGGATTTTTTATCTGTTTCAATATAACCTTCCTTCCAACATGACTGAGACATTAGACTGTTTTGTGATTACTGTATTGACCCAAATATAAGACAAGGTTATTTTCACTGAAAATCATTTACAAATGTGGGGTTGTCTTATGATCGGGGTCTAACCATTACACGCCCGTAACAGCAGAGAGCACCAGGCTTTGCATTCTCAACAGGAGAAAAAAATGGAGATGAGAGATCCGGAGCTGAGTGGACCGAAAGTGGGGCAAGTTAACAAGGTATAAGGCAGTTAGGGAGTTACGCAAATTTTACGATGACCATGGCCAATTCAGCATAGACGTCAAATATTGCATGCATGGATGCATTGGATGGCAGTGAGGATGACTTTCTGGGAGGAGTCGGTAGGTGTAGCGATCTGTTGGTACACTGGGACCGCAGCATCGAGAGTGAGTACAGCGAGGCAGAGGGCGTCATTTCACATGTCAGCAAAGTTCTGATGGTATGCATTAAAATTGTATTTTTGCTCAGTATTTGTCCTCAAATGAAAAAAAAAACATAGTTTATTTAAAAAGTGATTTTTTTTTGTCTTTTCCTGAAGATTAGTCTTTGAAAGGGGGTCGTCTTATAATCGGGGTCTTCCTATATTCGGGTCAATACGGTATTTCACTGTAGCATTTTTCCATATTGCTCCTTAAATAAAATTTCAGAGAAATGAGACACAGGCAAAAATATTGTCACTGTTGGGTAATTTTATTATTCAGTCCAGGATTACCTCAAAGAAAGTTCAACACACAGGGGGTTAGAGTAATCAGTTTGTCAAACCAATACCAATAACCAATAATCAAACAACAAACGGTAACCAGACTTTGCAAAGTGGAGAGATGAAAAGATACACACCAGTCGGTAGTCAGTTCGCTCTCTCATTGGGCAGATGCCTTCAGACAGGTTTTATTAAAGCACACAGCACACACACAATAAAAGATAACCGCACACACATTGCTCACAGACTCTCAGGCAGGAAGAAGACATTCCCAGGTGCTTGTTATAAATCAACAATCCACAAAGAAGTCGTAGTCTGGACTTGCTCACCTTTCTCAAGGGAGTTCTACTGATAACAAGACCTGGCACCAGTCCTGGTGTCGGGCCGAGGTCGAAACCTCCCTGTTGGAACTACAAAGTAAAATAAAATGAAGATGAACCTTCGTTTAAAAAATACCGGATGTTACACAGTCAAATCATTACAATACTGTTTTTATCCAACCTCTCTGCACCTTACAATGATACCTTCAGCCGTATGGTGCAACCATACAAGTGCACCTGGTTCAAAATAATTGAAATTTGTTAGAACTTCATAAAAATACTTAAATGTATAATAGATATATTAATATAGCAATGGCAACATGTAATAGTTAACATTAAATAAAATAACATTTAAACAGATTTTTCAAAGATCATTAATTTAACATAATAAAATGATTTTCCCCTGTAAATGATCCCTGTTGGATTTAAACTAGTGCATTTTTTACTTCACCAACCATAAAGCGAACATCGCCTAGTTATGTAACTGTATGAGTGTAAGTATGAATGCGATGTAAACCTCCGAGGGTAAGTTATGCACCGGTTCCTCTGATGAGTAAAGGTGAGAATTTACGGTCAGTAAGCTCATAGGTTAAAGCGGTGTG